CAATTCTTATTTTTAATCACACATTTTTCAATAAAATAATATTTTTCATCACATCAATAATTTTTTCTTCTTTTTCAACCACACATTTCCCATCATATCACTATTCAAAAATCAATTATTCCCCCAAAAATTCCTACCAAACAGGCTCTTAACCAGTCTTTTGACCTAATTTATGCTTTCCAAATTCCAACATTAGCTGTCTTTAAGAATTACTTAATGCCTGAATGCATGTCTGACTAACAGATATATTATGGAACATGCACGATGAATTAAATAATCCAAAAACTGAAGATAAACTAAATCCACTACTGGGAAAAGCGGGCAGCAATGTCTAAGGAGAACAATTTTGTTCCAGGAAAAAATCCAACTCAAAGTACCCTTTCCTAAATCAATTAAGTTGCAACCAAATCTCAGTATATACATCTCAGTTTATAATGGATTCTATACATTTCTTAGGCAATATTGTTGTTTCTTTTTCAGCGTTGATCTTGCTTTGGAACGCACCATGTGAAGCTCAACTTTCTCCATCATTTTATAGAAATACATGTCCAAATGCACTCACTACAATCCGCACTTCCATCCGGCAAGCAGTATCCCGAGAGCGAAGGATGGCTGCCTCTCTCATTCGCCTCCATTTTCATGATTGCTTTGTTCAAGGCTGTGATGCATCAATCTTACTAGACGAAACCCCTTCTATAGAAAGTGAGAAAACTGCATTTCCAAATATTAATTCTGTAAGAGGTTATGAGGTCATAGAGGCTGCCAAGAGGGAGGTTGAAAAAATATGCCCGGGAGTTGTTTCATGTGCAGACATACTCGCAGTGGCAGCCCGGGATGCCTCCGCAGCTGTAAGTACAAACATATCTTATTATTTTTTTGATTGGTAAATATAAATTACTATAGATCAAAACCTCATTACTAATACTCCGGGCATTCCGGGCGAAACATCAATCATGAAAATTGTGGACGTGCTTTACACTTGTATGAAAAATGAAATACAGGCTTGGATATGAGGGGGCACGTTGTATATCTAAACTAAATAGTTTTTTGGGTAGCACAGGTTGGTGGGCCATCATGGAACGTAAACCTTGGAAGAAGGGATTCTACAACAGCTAGTCGTTCTGTAGCTAACTCTGATCTTCCAAGTCCTTTTTCCGATCTCAACACACTTACTTCTGCATTTGCGAACAAGGGACTTAGTGCTAGAGACATGGTTGCCTTATCAGGTAATTAAAGTGCCTAACATCCATATTATTATTTTTACAATTGTTTGATGTTTGTTGACCTAAAATTTACGACTGATATGCAGGCTCCCACACAATAGGCCAATCCCAATGTTTTCTCTTCCGAGATAGGATATACAGCAATAGAACAGACATTGATGCTGGATTCGCTAGCACTCGTAGGCGCCAATGCCCTACAAACAGTGGAGACAGTAATTTGGCAGCACTTGATTTGGTGACACCCAATTCATTTGATAACAACTACTTTAGGAATCTAATGCAGAGAAAGGGTCTTCTTCAATCAGATCAAGTTTTATTCAGTGGAGGATCAACCAACAATATTGTTTCCGAGTACAGTAGAAATCCAAGAACATTCATGTCTGATTTTGGAAATGCCATGATCAAAATGGGAGACCTCGAACCACTCACCGGCCAAAATGGGATCATAAGAAGAATCTGTAGTGCCATCAACTAGTTTAATCCAAGAGTATGTGATTCCGTTGCATTGTGAAAACGTTTCTGGGACAATTGAACATTTCAATTTGGTATCAAGTTTTAGTGCATTATGATTTTGTCTTTGGATATATCCTTTTCGAAAAGAATTCATGGTTAAAAATCTTGCCATGAACTTTAAGTTATTTTGTTGCAGTTCCTTGTGTTAGGATTAGTGCGCTAAAAGCAATGTGTAAGAACAGGTTTTAGCTTTCACCAAAATAATTTGATTAACCACACAATTATAAAGCGTAGATAATAACACAGGTAATTTCACATGATTGATCAATTGGCTACATCCGCTTGTCACACCCAACTATTGAACAATTCACTAAATTGGAACAGATTACGGACACAATACAATTTAAATAAACAAAGACTTCATTTTTAAAATTCTATGTGTTGTGTAATATCACTTATTTTACTTGTTCAACTAGCACCGCATGTCTTGTTGGTTTTAAGCTTTTGAACTTCCTCCAAAGCTGCAAATCTTCGTCTCGTGAAGAACATGGCCACTTCTCTAAAAAATCACAATAGATGGTCTCGAAACACTTAAAAGATTTCTAAGTGTATAACTAAGAATCAAATACTAAAAATGTTCCTCCCATAAGCTTTTCGAAAATTTTAGCTAAATGATTTGAATGTAATACTTAGAAAAATAAAAATGTTTTGCTATGAAAATCAAGATTCTTTTTCCTCACAGAAGTCACCAATTTTACTATGAAAGAGCTCTCCTTTTATTCACAAATTTTGTGCACCTAAAGTAAATCCCTGTAACGGAATGGAGGCTGATCTTCGGGATAGTCTACAGCAGAAATTTATCAATTGGAGGTTTATTTTCGCTAGGGCATGGATATTACCACGTGCTGTTGTTGAGAATTTACTTAACATGCACATCAGAAAATAAATAATTTTTAAATTCCCATCAAGGATCTGTTTTGTGTTTAGATAGAAATTGTGATATGAATTATACCTTTGATGAATTCCACAAGCTCATTTGCTTTTCTGGAACTCGAATGATGACAATCTGCAATCCAAACTGTTCAATTGTCCAGCCCCCAACGATAATCCACAAAGAGAACAATAATAACGATTAGGGTTTTCTTTTATTATGTTAGCAAGAATAATGAATAATTTTCTGCAGTTTTCAAACCATAGCAGCATATTAATATAAGTCCAAGCAGGTTTGGCCAGTCTCTTAAACTTAACCCGGTCCAATGTTTAATTAATCAAATTAATTAAATTTGGTCCATCAATTAATTAATCCAACTAATTAATTCGGACATATTAATAAGCAACACAATTAATTAAT